CGTATCCCGACAGCTGACTTGTATTACAAACCATGTCACGTGTGACAATGATTACAGGCGCTACGCGGTCAGTATGTGGAACTTACCATGCTGGTACCTCCACGACGGATGGGTGGACCTCGGCCGACGCCCCGTACCACCGCGACGCTGAAGCATCGGGAAGGGGGGGCCCACTATGGCCACTACGGAACTGCATAGCAAATAGAAAGGCCATATTCGTCAAGTGCGTCTCGAGCACTAACGTCAGGGATCGATTCGAATTTGGAGAGTCCCGCAAGATGCAGAAGACAGAGCCAACGACATGGACGTTGTGCTAATACAGCCGGTGCAAGGATATGGTACAGAGGCGTCTCTATTGTTAATCCCAGGGCGCGTCTTCAATAATGCCGCATTGGAGAAAGGCGTGCGTTGAGATATACCAGATGTCATGGTGCGCGGAACATACCTCAGCAACCTCAATTCCATTATGATCCATGCGCCTAGTCTTTCATGCTTGCCCGCGCAAGCTCGAGAAGCGAATGTTACGGCAGGTCGATGACCCACATCGCCCCGCACCACCCATTCGCACCAGAAGGCGGACGTGCAATGCGGGGGGTCTGCGCTGCGGCGCTCTACTTCGCCTCGGTGAAGATGGTCGACGATGTCATCGGCATCTATGTCAGTGAAAACGATGCTATGTTGACATACGGGGTCAATGGGGTACTTCCCACCAAGCACATCTGGAACGCCGTGGATATACCGAGCCGGCAGGAATTGCACAACACGCAAATTAGGTCTGAGTTTATAGGCAAACGACGGATCACCATCAGAGACCTTGCTGGTCAGTATGGGTGGATTGATGTTACTTGTATCGAGCTGGAGTATATAAACAACCGCCTGGTTCGGATATCTCACCGGCAGCGCAGGCCAAATCGCGTGCCCGTGACCGCGAATCGCGTTTCCGCAATCCCACCGCGACCAGCGTCATCATCGCCAGGAGATCGACCACCAGTGCCCGTTGAGGACAGACCGCCGTCGCCGCCAGCTGGAACTGGCATCGGGAGAGTGATCCACCGCCACTTACGAGAGCGTCGATGAAAGCGGACTTGCGCTATCGTGGACGACCTCCAGGAAGCGCCGTTGCATCGTCGAGCTCGGGTTCAGCATGCCAACGACAGCTGGACTCCGAGACCAGCTTGATGATCCAGACTAACGACAGCGCTGGCCCGTTGCAGGTCATGCCGACCCCAGCCGCTGGATCGGCTGCGCCGTCAGTGCAGTCACAACAGCCGCTTTCTAGCAGCGGGGGTCCATCCCAAGGACAGGGCCCCTGGAACGCCAGACTCCTGGCGCCGCAGCGACCTGCGCCGCAACTTTCGCAAGGGGGAGTTCCAGCAGTGCGAGCGCCGGGATCGCCGACAGCCAGCGTGGATTTGGGGCGGGCACCAGCACCTGGAAGCGAGGTGCAAAGCAAGACCGTCGCCGCGGTGGTCGCAGCTATGGCGCCATGCCCAGGAGCCGCTGCAGGAGGGCGAGGAGCTCAGCCACCAGATGCACGGCGACTTTGGGAGCCGCGAACTTACTGGTGAGGAGGGCGATGAAACAGAACGGTGCGGTCTGCGAGGGTGCGACCTGCTGCGTCGTGGTTGCGCGACCGGTGAAAATGCAGTCGTTCACTGTATCGACCGCCTGTGCAAGCCTCGTCGCCTTCTGGTTCGCTCCCATTTTGCCGTTGAGGATATTATTACAGCTCGCAGCAATGACGAACGTTAGCGGGCCCTCATCACGCTGCGCGAGCTCAAGCACGGGAGACTACCTGCAGACCAACTGGCAAGCATCAGAGATCCTGGTGGCTTGGGATTGCAGGCGTGTCTAGCCAGTGACGCATAATCCATTTATAGATCTTTCACCAGACAGGACTTCGATATTCAGACTGAGAAAGCATAGTCGGGACACGTCAGCTGGATCGGAGAGCTCTTAGACCAGAAAGCACCACTGTGGGTGATCAGTGGTGCGATGCGGGAGATAGGACAGCTGATGGGCCATGCCAGGGGGTCGACTGATCGTGTGCTATTACTTGAGGCATCTGTAGGTACTCGTGTACGTAAGCATGACGTTAATAGTCCTATACTCCCGATCGCGGTAGCGCGAACTCGTTGTCCGCAGCGCGCGCAGTTCTAAAGGGCTCTCGGATCTGGCGGATTTGACGCGGGCCGTCGCGGTCGCGCGACGGCTCGTGCCACATCCGCTTCTGTTCGCCAGCGCTTGCTTGCGTGAGCTTGCTATCTTGGCCACCTGCGCGTGTGCGCCGCGATCCAGACCTGGCGTCGGGGCACGCAGCGTTCCCCCCCCCCTCCGATTTTGAAGGGGAGGTGCGCGGGGATGCCGTGTGCGCACGTGCCCGATGCCGTTTGGCTCGTGGGCGTGCGCGCCCCGTTCGCCTACGCGCAGGGCATCCGCGGACCGGACGTGCCATGTGCAGGGCGGCCAAGCTAACTTATCATTGTTTACTTTCGGCCGTGCCATGCCACTTCTGCACACGACATGCCGATGGTCATGTCGAGTCGGAGGGCCTGAGGAGGCCAACGCCATTGATTTCCCATTAGTTTTCGAATGATTTACATGTTCTGGCATGCCTTGGGTTTCCGACCGCCCAAGACAGCCGAAAATGCTTCAGTGGGCCGTCTTGTTGCTCTCCTGGAGCGCTCCAAGGCCGTCTTGGGGCTCTCTCGGGGGCCCTTTGGGCGATCTGTGGGCCCAATTGGGCCGGTTTGGGGCCCTCTTGGGGGCTTCTTGGGCTGTCTTGGAGCTATCGTGGAGGCTTCTTGGGAGCCTTTAGGGCCGTCTTCAGCGGTCGGAAGCGCGGACAGGTGAGAACTTCAAAACTTTTTACCAAACAGCGAAGAGTGATAGGTTTCTAGTGGTCTCAAAAGGGAGCATCATGACTCCCCAGGGGGGTCTGGGCAGATGCCGGACGGGTGCCGCGGAAAACCGGGGACTCACCATAACCTTATCCCAGGCCACATTTTGATTGCCCGGAGCCAACAGAACACCATTCCCAGGCCACATTTTGAATGCCCGGAGCCAAGTGTGAGCCACTTCGTGTTCTTCGTGCTCCCAGAACACCATTCCCAGGCCACACTTTGAATGTCCGGAGCCAACAGTAGGCCACTTCGTGATCTTCGTGTTCCCAGAACATCACTTCTGTACCACATTTTGAATGCCCGGAGCCAACTGTAGGCCACTTCGTGTTCTTCGTGTTCCCAGAACGCCACTCCCACGCCACATTTTGAATGCCCGGAGCCAACTGTAGGCCACCTCGTGTTCTTCGTGTTCCCAGAACACCGTTCCTGTACCATATTTTGATTGCCCCGAGCCAATTGTGGGCCACTTCGTGACCTTCGTGTTCCCAGAACACCAGTCCTGTGCCATATTTTGAATGCCCGAGTTGAGGCAGGCTGAGGCCGAGGCAGGCTGAGGCCGAGGCAGGCTGAGGCTGAGGCTGAGGCACGCCGAGGCAGGCTGAGGCTGAGGCTGAGGCAGGCTGAGGCTGAGGCTGAGGCTGAGGCTGAGGCAGGCTGAGGCTGAGGCCGAGGCAGGCTGAGGCTGAGGCAGGTTGAGGCTGAGGCAGGCTGAGACTGAGGCTGAGGCAGGCTGAGGCTGAGGCCGAGGCAGGCTGAGGCTGAGGCAAGCCGAGGCAGGCTGAGGATGAGGCTGAAGCTGAGGCAGGCTGAGGCTGAGGCTGAGGATGCTGAGGCAGGCTGAGGCTGAGAGGCTGAGGCTGAGGCAGGCTGAGGCTGAGGCAGGCTGAGGCTGAGGCCGAGGCAGGGTCAGGCCGAGACAGGCTGAGGCTGAGACTGAGGCTGAGGCTGAGGATGAGGCCGAGGCAGGCCGAAGCTGAGACAAGGTGAGGCTGAATGAGGGGGGGGGGGAGAAGGGGGGGGGGGGAGGAGGGGAGGCTGAGGCAGGCTGAGGCCGAGGCAGGCTGAGGCCGAGGCAGGCTGAGGCTGTGGCTGAGGCAAGCCGAGGCAGGCTGAGGCTGAGGCTGAGGCTGAGGCTGAGGCTGAGGCAGGCTGAGGCAGGCTGATGCTGAGGCGCTGAGGCAGGCTGAGGCTGAGGCTGAGGCTGAGGCTGAGGCTGAGGCTGAGGCAGGCTGAGGCTGAGGCTGAGGCAGGCTGAGGCTGAGGCCGAGGCAGGCTGAGGCTGAGGCTGATGCAAGCCGAGGCAGGCTGAGGCTGAGGCTGAAACTGAGGCAGGCTGAGGCATCCGTAGGAATCCATAGGAACCCCTAGGAATCCCTAGGACTCTTTAGGAATTCGTAGGAATCCTTAGGAATCTTTAGGCATAGTTAAGCATCCTCAGGAATCCTTCGGAATCCCTGGGAATCTCTAGCAATCAGGATTCCTAAGGATTCCTAAGGTTTCCTAAGGATTCCTATGGATTCCTAAGGATGCCTAAGGATGCCTTAGGAATCCCTAGCAATCCTTATGATTCCATTGGATCCTAACGCCGTTGCCACTGCGACTGTCATTGCGAATGCGACTGCGACTGCGAGAACAGCAGAATTCTACAACTGGATTCTCACCTGAATCTCAGGGGGAATGCTTCCAGATATGCTTATACACACGGCTGTTAGGTTGCTTTGCCAGGATAATCAAACAGTCAAGGCACATCAGTGGTTTTGGCCCATCCGGGCTCGCCAGGAAGGCCTCTTGGAGCTTCTTGGGGTCCTTTTGGGATCGTCATGAGGCCGTCGTGGGCTATCTTGAGCCATCTTGAGATTGTATTGAGAGCCTCGACCATCTTGCGCCGTTTTGCTGTCGTCTTGGCTGTGTTGGAAGCCGTCTTGGAAGTCATCTTGGTCGTTTGGAGGCCGAAGAAGCCGCCGGACAACAATTTCAGAAAAGGGACGATGTTCGAGGGGCGCGCATGGCGCGAGTGGGGGGAAAAAAGGTCCCGATGCTTTTTTAGAGAACATCCCAGACAACGGACGAGCATTCTAACACGCCCAATCCGTGCAGGCACGGTGGCGGATTTCGACGCACTCAACGAGGCGGGTTTGGAGTTTTTGGCAATGGAGGAGGCTTGCGTGAAGGAGGACCACATGAACAAGCATCCAGAGTTCTTCGAGTCAGTGTGCGACTTGCCGCTGCACCTTGTCTTCAAGGCAAGGAAGCCCCTCGCGGCGCAGCGCAAGCTAAACAATGCTTCAGTGCTGGACGCGCTGCCGAAGAAGGTCTTGTGGTCTGGCATCGAGAGGGCGAGCCCGGAGTCGACGCTGCTCAGGCACTGGCCAGCGGATGTGGAAAAATTCTTGACGCTTCGCGTACACCCATCATTGCGCGCACCGGCCTCAGTGTGGCAGCGGGTGGTCAGAAAACTGATCCCACATCTGTGCAGTGGTTCGCTGTTCCTTTGCTGGCCGCCAGTTACGGTTGCCTGGACTGGCATCATCCCACCGTCGCGCCCCCGCTCCACCCGGACGAGCGGTCTTCTGGGCTTCTTCGTGACCACTGGCTGTTGCTTGGGCTGCAGCTGGTAAGAGGCAGCACCGCTCCTCGAGCGCCTTCGTCTACTCCACTCAGGTACGCCAGGGTACTTTGGTTAGGCGGCTCCGGTTGTGCTGGTCACGTTAGTTGCTCCCTGGTACACGTCCCTGTTCTAATCCGGTTGGCGTCGCTTGCGATTTGTGGCCGTTAGTGGATTGGGACTGTTGTACCTTCCGTATAGCGTTACATCATGTCTCGATGGTCGCTTGCGTTCGCATCCATTCGAGGCTGTCTCCTGGGCCTGGCGTGCTTGGTTCGGTTCGACACCACGAACTCCACGCCTTTGGGCTGTGTGGGTGCGTGCTCTGAAGCTGCGACGGTTCGCTGGCGCTGTCAGAGCTTTTCGTACGGGATGCCGACTGACGACTGCTCGTGTGTCTTTCGGTTGATGCTTGTGCATGGCAGGTCTTCTGGATCCTCGCACTTCATTCCCGCCGAGGTTGGGGACTTCCTCCTGTTCAGTTAGTGTCTCAGATTGCATTTGTTCTGTAGCCTCTGACACGGTGGGGGTCTTGCATCGCGCCACTTTGGCAGCGTAATTATTCTCCTTGGGTGCTGGGTCCCCATCAGATTCCCTGGGCAGCAGCACCCTTGCACCCGCCGCCCGGCGCCGACCGCGGCACGCGCGCGCCCCCGGCCAATTCGTAGCGGCCGCAGCCCGACCGTTACCCGCCGCCGCTGGCGCTTCCGCCCGCGGCTGTAAAAAAAATAAAAATAAAAGAAATACACCCATCATTGCTTGACGGTGCGCGGTGGATCCGTGTCGCCCGCGGACAAAAAGTATCCCCATCACCCCCCTGCTTGCACGGCGTTCGACCCGCTTCGCACGCCCGCGTACCAAGAGTATCCCCATCAGCCCATCCAGACACGATCGCCCGGTGAGTTGCCTGGATGAGGGCACCATGGAAGCATGCAGTGCGACAGCTGACTTGGATGCCTTTCGGGGGTGCGGGGAAGACGGGAACAATTGTTGTATGAGCCGTCGAAAAGTAGGTCGAAAAAGGTCGACCTGTTGCCGTTTTGGCGCTGTGGGGGTCTACTTGGGGTCCTCTTCTAAAAATGTTGACCTGCCGCGGGTATTTCATCGGGGAGGAGCTCCTGCACCAGTGTGCTGTCGTTTTTTTTTGTTTGTTCCCCCCGAGCGGGTATGTATGTATGTATGTATGTATGTATGCATGTATGTATGCATGTTTGTATGTATGTATGTATGTATGTATGTATGCATGCATGCATGCATGCATGGGTGAGTGAGTTTGTGAACGTTGATTTTCAGATAGGTTAGCGAAGGGGCCATAGGGCGGGATATGTCTTGTTGTTTCGGACGTTGTCTCCAGGTCTTGCCTGCGCCCGAAACCGTTTCAAGTTCAAGGCACCATGACTCACTGACAGAGTTTCGAGGTGCCTCCGCGGGCACCCTCTTGCAGGTCTCTCCGCGGCACCCGAGGGGTGCCGCTGTATTCCACCAGACACCAGAAGTGCCCGCCATGACGCTGGGGGCCGACTCGGCCGCGGCGGGTGCGCCGCCGGGACTGGATACCACCGCTGCGGGCGAACCGCCGCCGCTGGCCCCCGAGAGCGCCGCCGCCGACGTGAACCAAGGCAGCTGGTGGTTCGCGGCGGCGTGGGGACTCCTCGCCCTGGCAGGCGGAGGAGGAGCCCTGGCAGCCCAGCTGGGCTCGACAGGACGGGCCCGCCTGGCGGGCCTCACCGTGTTCGGGCTGGTGGGCTTCCTCGCCACAGTGAGGGTCGTGCGCCAGGCGTGGTGGCTCTACTGCGACCAAGAGGCGACGAGGGCGCAGATGGCCGCCCTCACGGCCCAGATGCAGCAGCTGGCCCTGTCGGGAGCGATGGGCATGCCAGGAGGAGGTTTCCCTGGCGGCGGCCCGCCTGACGAAACCATGCCCGGGTGGGCCGACGTGGGGCCGCCGCCGCCGGGGATCCCGCAGGTGCCGGGCGTGACGATGACGGGGCCGGCCGCTGGACCCATCGGTCCTCCAGTGGGTCAGGCCAGCCACGCGCCCGCGGGCGCCTCGAGCCTGGACGCGCTAGGCGCGTGGGCTGGCGCGGCTGCCCCACCCGCCACGGGTGCTGGCGCCACAGCTGGGGCTGGGAGCTCGCCGCACGTCCCTCAGTACAGGCCGCCCGAGCTGGACAGCAAGGTCCGCCAGCAGGCCAAACAAGTGAAGGAGCTCCTGACGGCGTTCGCGAACGCCAGAGGCCAGGACTATATGTGGGGTCGACGCTTCTGGTCCAACATCTACGCGATGGATTCGAGTGGGCAGCTAGTGCCCGAGGTGAAGCGTCTCCTGTCGGGTTTCGGCTACGTGGGCGAGCAGACGGTGACGGCCCCCCGCCATGAGGAGCTCGGGGCCGCGCTGGACCGCCTCGCGTCGGAGGCCGCACTGACCGCGGGCGCAGGCATCTGGCAGTCCACCCCCAGCCAGGGCTTGGCCGCGGCGGCAGGAGGCTCAGAGGAGACGCGATGGGGCTCCTCGTTGCCAGCGGACCTCCAGCGAGCGGCCCCCGAGATCTACAGGGCGATGCGGGGCGAGGGGTCGACGAGCGCCCGCGACTGGATCGCCCAGCGCTACCAGGGGAGTCGTACCAGTCCGGTGTGGGTCGACCTTTGGACGCTGGCCACGTCGGTCGACTTCCGCCTCCGCGACTGCGGCAGCGACCTGGAGATCATGCAGGTGCTAGCCAAGGACGACATGATGGAGATAGGCCTCCGCCGCCTCGCGGCGTGCGTGTACGAGCAGCGGAGTGGGGGCCGCGTCGGCGCCCAGCACATGTTGGGCATCGCACCGCCTGGCGGCTCAGCCGATGTGGCCCCGACGTGGATGGTGGCCTCAGCGACGATGCACTCGAAGATCGAGCACCAGCGCAGGGAGAGAGTCGAGGCTGAGGCGCGCCACAGGCGAAAGAACGACAAGGGCGGAGGTCGAGGCGACGGTCGTGGAGGTGGTCGAGGGGGAGGCCGAGGCGGCAAGTCCTCCGACTCCAAGCATGAATAGGGGCTCGCGGCGCGCCCCGACGAGCCTGCCGTCGGGGCGCGGAGCCCGCCAGCGCAGTGGGTGCCCAGAGTGCGTGACGATCTGCACCCCTCGCTGCAGCAGGTGATCTCGGCCCAGCCGGGACAAGAGGCGTGCTTCCCCATCACGCTGGTGGATCGCCCTACCCCGATGACGAGCCGATCTAGTCGACTTCGACATCGATTCAAGCGGAAGCTCGCTCTGTGGGCTCTCGCCAACGAGTTCGTGCAAGGGATCAACTCCATGGACACGGGCTCGTGCACGGACCTCACCCGCCCCCGCCGTAAGGAGAGCTTGTCGATGAACATGCGGGGGCTGCACGGCCAGGTGCATAGGGTGGCTCTACGAGAAGCTAAACGGCTGGCAGAGGCGCGCCGGGACTGCGGTCTGACAGGCGTCCCCGCGGTGCTGGAGCTAGCTCGTGTGGAGGAGGTGGGCTATGGTCGGCCTACCCGCCTGTCGACCCATGAGGCCCTGAGAGCGGAGGACATTGATGAGCCGCAAGTAGTGAAGAGTGTGAATATGCTCGAGGTGCTCGAGCCGGAGGAGGCCAGGTACTACAGCGACGAGAGTCTCGTGGTGGCCCCGACGGAGCTGCGCAGCCGGGTGATCTTCGAGGAGCTACAGGCCAAGTTCGGTTTCGTTGGAGGCACCCAGGAGGAGTACGAGAAGTATTTCAGCCGCCAGGACATGCCGCCCAACCTGTGGCACTTCGGCGGCCCACAGGAGGTGAAGGCCATCGCGGGCTTCAGCACGGTGGGCAAGAAGACCAGTGGGCGTCAACGTAAGATCATCATGATGGTGGCGGCTAACTATATGTTCCAGGACGTGAGAGGTCGAGCCGAACACGGACTACACGGAGGAGGTGCCTTGGCCAGCCTGCACGTCCCGTCGGACGACTGGGCGGCCGCGGCGTTCGACGAGAGCAACGCCTTCTCTTTCGTGGAAGTTCCGAGCTGGATGTGGGGCTGGCAGTGCGTGCCACCCGTGAGGGCGGCCGCCGTCTGGTGGCGTCTGTCGCCCAGCCAGCGAGACTCTTTGAATCCTGAGAGCTGGGTCTATCCGATGTGGCGCCGTTTAGTCATGGGCAGCTCCCACAGCGTGCACATCCTGATGTCCATCAATTCGAGGATATGCTCCATGACGCTGAGGCGCAGCTTGGTAGACCCGCAGCAGGATCACACTCTGGCGTGGCAGGCCGGATACCAGATGCTGAAGGATGACGACTGGGCCGAGCGCCAACGACTTCGACGAGATGGCCCCCCCCCCCCGAGCGGGTTTTCCGTGGCGAGCTGGTGCGAGGCAGTACGCCACGCACGGCGCCAGGAGACCCGCGTTTTCGTGGTCATGCACCTGTTCGCGGGGGCCCGGAGGGAGCAGGACGTGCAGCACTACGTCGAGGCGATGATGAACGTCCGGGAGCTGAAGGTGCTCATGATCTCGGTGGACCTGGCCGAGGACTCGCGGTGGGACCTCGGGCGCGTCGACACCTTCGAGCTGCTCTGGTCCCTG